CAAATGTTTCGTTTTTTATAACTAAACAATGTTTAGTGCACACAAGAATATGTCCTCCGTGAAAAAGTTTATTTTTGTAATTTTATTTGAAATTGTACACATTTTACAGTTCTATATTATATGATCCTTATCGCATGTCTTGATTGACTATTTTGTACTCTTATGAAATACAGAAAGTTATTTATATTATGTATATGTTTATCCTTGCAAAAATAGATGTTATACTGATCAATATTTGATAGATTAGTTTCAGTTACTCCGAATATGTCGTTTTAGTAATTAGTGTAACCAGACGAGAGTATATGATATTCAAATTCACTCTTCAGTAAAAATGAGTTACATTTTCAAATAACAAATATCAACATTGATTCCACACAGTTTGTATTTGCCCTTTTTGTCATGATAAGTTTAAAGTTCTACCTATTAAAGTACTATTTCAAATTAACAGGTCACAGCAAAATATTAATTTCACATTTTTATTTCAACCAAAACGTTTGAACTTAATTGCGAATAAACTTGTTTATATTGCCTTAATCACAAGACAGTATTAAACAGCAGCAACTAACTAAACATCATAACTAACAAAATATATTTCCTATGAGCCTGTTAACTTCGTAAGCTCGTCCTACGGCTGATAACTAACCGAGCTGGCATGGCGTGGTAATTAGGTCACACAACACAAAACTTGCTGGTCACGGGAACGAAACTCATTATCAAATGTGCTGGCCTTTTTACCAATGAGGGCGTTTTAATGTGATGGTCAGTCACATTATTCGTTGGTAAGGAGTTTCCCAATAGATGGCAGTGAGTGGTATTGACTAGCTGTCTTTGCTCTCGTCTATCGTTTCAAAATTAGGGATAGCTAGGGCAGATAGTCCTCGCACAAGTTTGCGCAAAAGTTCAGTAATCAAACAAGCTCAATGATTTATCAAATTAAAGATAATGGATCCTAAGCCTTTGTTCATTAACGTATGCCATCATTTTACTCAGAAAAACATCCAACTTGGTAAAATGTTTTACTTGCTCTTAAAGTTCGAAAGCCTTTCATTTAATAAATCATCCTAACACTATTATCAGTATTTTGTTTACCCTTCAAGTTAAGAATTTGTTTGTATACCGTATTAGACATATAGCACTATATTAAGTACTTTTATATTTTTGACTCTTACAACATTTTACTATAAAGATGATCCACTATGTGTGTGTGTATGTAAGTCTTATCATCCCTCACCTAGACTTGGCTGGCTCGATTTCCGTAATGTTTTGTGTAGTAATTCGAAACTATCAGACTGTGTACACGGGTTATTTTGTTTCAGTATTTTTACCCGAAAAACTCTGAATAGGACACGTAGCAACTATTTTAATAGATATTTGTCTGTGAATTGAAAGACACAAATACTTAATCAGTTAAATAACTCAATTATTACCTTTCACAAAACATGATATACAATTAGCATCTAATGAAGTCATTAGGGATTTAATAACAAAAGAAAAAAGGAAAAGGAACATTATCTAACAGACCTTTTTACAATTTTTACTTCCACGACCAATTCAATATAAAAAATTGGTCAAACAATATGGCTGATATCAATTATTTTGTACACAGAGTACTCCAGCAGCAGGAGAATTACGTTACATTAAAATGATTTTAATTATTTTCAATCTAACAAATCATATTAAATTTCTGGCGTATTGTAATTTATAAGTGTTCTTGCCTATTCAAAGAACACTGTTTCCTTTCACTTTTTAACCAGGAGAGTTGAATATGAAATCTACTAGTAGTCCAGCATACAGGAAACTGCGCCTTTAAGAATTATTGCTGTAATGATAAAATATATGTAGAAGACATACAATACGCATGTGATCCATAAGCTTAGTTCAACTTTGCAACCGCTACTCTTGCATTGAAGTTAAAAGCAGCGGATAAACAGAGCATATGGTTTTTTGTTTGTTTGTTGAATTTCGTGCAAAACTATTCGAGGGCTAACTGCGCTAACTTTCCTTAATTTAGAAGTGGTAAACTGAAGGAAAAGCAACTAACCAATACCACCCACCGTTAACTCTAAGGCTACTCTAATCGAAAAGTAGGATTTACCTTCACATTATAACGCCATTATGGTTGAAATGGTGAGCATGTTCGGTGATGGGATTCAAATCCGAGGTCTGCAGATTGCGACTGGAGCGCACTAACTACCATCCAAGCCTAGAGCATATGAATTGTTGAAAAGTACAACTGTATGTCTACAAAAACATACAATGCTTGAATTCCGTAAAGTTGAGCAATTAGCAATATTAAAAAAAGTGAACGTTATGGTCTTGAAGTTTTCTTATTATTAAGCTATGATGATAAGAAAGTGCATTTCCATTTATTTTATTTGTGTTTGTAATGTTCAAAACAATATAAACACTTACCCAGTGAATCATGTAAATCATAGTTCATTTACTATGGTTCTGACCCTATCTAATTTTTAAGCCTTTTTTTTAAACCATTTAAGCATTAAGTTATTTGTGGCCATGCCTTTGTTGGTTGCAGAATCCCTAGTTATATAGCAATTGCAACAGGAAATGTAAACAAAAATGACATCAATAATGCAATTAAACCCACTAATTATAACAGACAAAAGCAGAAAATTACTCCATATGATGCAATATAGAGAACCCCACCAGTAGTGAACAATATAAAAAGCACGTCGTCAGTAATTTGAAGATTGAACAATGCGTAATTGTTAGTTTATCAAACCAAAAAACCATCATTATTCGGTGCTTGATCAACATAATAATAGGCTGTTCTTACATTTTGTGAATTTTCGCTGCAACTGATATAACAAAATATTTTCATTAAGTTTAAAATCCACTTTTCCTGCCAATATGCTGTTGTCAAAACTACTGGGGTTAATCATATTGTATTAAAAACGATTTCTAGGTCCCATTCATCAACTGAAGTTGGTTCATTCATCGTTAATAGTGCTCAGTCTGATGGTCATGATTGCTTAGTCTCTAAATTGCTATTGTAAAACATAAAACCAATCTAAGACTAAACATCTTGACAAAATTTCCACAGAACATCCACTGTACGTGAATCAGCTTCCAGTACCATGCAGTTTTTAGCAGCAGATCAAAGAAAGTTCATGAAAGCTGAGTAGAAGGACTTGACATCTACTTGTTATCAAACTGGATTGCTGTGACTCCAGTTTCTTCGACCATCTTTCTCACAGCCGTTAGTTTCACTATTTGGATTGGAGCTTTAAATCCTTGCTTATCATTTTGTTAACTGTAGCAGAAGATGTGCTTTCTATTTATTTTTATTTTTTTGCGTGTGATTTTCTTGAACGGGGGGTGTAGGAGATAAAGGTTTCTCTTTTTCAACCACAGCTTTCTCTTTGCGAGACTGAGAACGTTGTTCTAGAATGGCTTGGGAACGTAGTTTCAGAGCCTTTTGCTACCGTAAACAATCTGCTCTGAAAACCTTTCCACTTTCGTGGAGAAAATTGAAGGCTCCCTTCGAAATGTTATGTCCCTTGGCTCTACGTCATTTAAACTTCTTGGCATATAATTATCCCTTTTACAGAAAGGTTTGCTTGTTTCAGAGATTTATGCAAAGCTACACAAGGGCTAGTAGAACTAGCTGTTCCTAGTATTGAACAATCACCACTAACTTTTGCTACTGTAAGCTAATAGATGGGATCATCATTCTTATAACACAACTACACCGCCAAGATGTGGAGAGCAATTTTTTGGAACAGGATAAGAACAATGGACCATCAGATTCGCATTCTGGCCCTCTAATCAATTGGCCACACGAGGTATGGGGTATGGTATAAATTATACAGTCATAAACTACCCCCTAGTAGAGTTGTAAACCGAACGCTCGAGAATCTATAAGGAACCTAATTTATTGGTAATAAACATATTGCCGGTGGCGCTACAACTCGAGTCTGCAGTGACATGACACTGAATTTAGCATATGAAAATCGCTCTTATAAAGTGCAATTAAGTCCGAGCATAAATCTGCACTATTAATATTTAACGTTATGCAGTGTTCTTTTTCGCCTTTTCTATGCAGTTGAGTTTGTTTGATATTAAGCACAAAGCTACAAAATGGACTATCTGTACTATGCCCCTCACAAGTATCGAAACTCGGTTTTGAACCCTCAAACTTACCGCTGAAACAACTGGGGGCAATAGTTGAGTATTCTCTCCTTAGAAAAAACAAAACTTTTGACAGTTGAAGAAAGAGTAGTTTTATTCTTCACGTATACCCCATCATTTGTTTGTTTTCCGACATTCGCACAAAATTATAAAAGAGATAATAGCGTTAGCCGTCCCTAATCAACAGCACTCCCCGCCAACTCTTGAGTTATTCTAATTGAAGTAACGCATCCTATTCATGTGACTGTACTATTGGATAATACAATAAAGAACATACTAACTACTCGACCTGACGTTCTTCTAATTATTGTTAAATGTGTTTTCCCTACAAAGTTCTAAAAATAATGCATTTATTTATCATCATATTCCTTATATGAAAAATAACACATTTATTTTCATTGAATCGAATTTATGAAAGTCATATCAATTTCTTTTTGACATGTGGGATAATAACATATGGTGGTTGTATCTCTTCGTCTCAGGTACGAAGTACATATAAAACAGTCAACGTCTGGGTGTTGATGTTTTTAATGAACAATGAGATAAGAGACAGATGGTAGTCTTATTAACATACAAAGTACAAGGTCGGAAAATGGGCATTCAAAATATATTCCTTCGATATAATAAATAGCACCCACTATTTCTACTCGAAATTATTTAGAATTTCCTCCTTTTCCCTAATATATATAGATGTATATATACATTTGTTCTCAAACTTAGCAGCCTAAACATCATAGTCGAATAATAAAAATAATATTTTTTTACGAAGAGATACACCGTTTCATTAATCCATTAGCACACCTACCTACTTTGTTCCCTAGACAAGGTATACTTCACACAATTTATCATTACGTCTGAGATCAGGTTCATTAGCTTTATGTCAGCAGGTTATTTCAAGCTAGGGAAGCTAATACTATGCCAAACATGAGATTAAAAATAACATTTTTCACGTGTATATTAATTTTTACGTACCAAATTAATGTTACAAAACAATTTGGGAATGAATGTCCATCTCCTGAAGATATATATCCTTGTGAATGTGAGAGAAGACACGGTGACAAGACCTACTTAGTCTGCAAAGAACTTTTTGTCTCTCGAGATCTTGAGATCGCTTTAAAAGCAAGTCAAAAAGTCGATCTTTATGGGTTGTCGATCCAAGACTCTACTATTCAATATCTACCAAGCGATGAATTTGATGGAACATTATTTGAAGAGTTTGAGTTGAAGAATACGGGTCTAACTGCTATAACCGATGGGGAACATGCTTTTAAAGGACTCGAAGATCGATTGAAGTATATTGAAATTCGAGATTGTCGGTTCTTAAACAGTTGGTCTTGGAAAGCATTTTCCAAGATAAATTCTCTGCGACTCCTTCAGTTTATTGGAGGAGACTTACGAACTCTATCAAGTGACTTCTCCATTCTTTCTCGTAATAAAATGCTTGCCACTGTAAATATGAATTTGAATGAAATTAGAAGTCTCGATAAACACGTTTTCTCACAATTCCCTATGCTTTTAGACATCTATCTTCAAGGGAACAAAATAGAAACCATCGAAAGGAGCATGTTTCCAAACCCAGCGCAATTGTCGTTCATGAATTTCGCGTAAGAATTCTTCTTAGTAAAACTTCATGTTTCTAAGAGTTGTATTATGAGTTCAAAATTAGATTTACAACCATTTTATAATTATTAAATTAAGTAAACAGTATCTAATATTAAAATCTATGAAATATATATTTAATTTCTAATACAGGGAAAATTGTTCTATAAAATTTTCCATTTATGTTTAATCATAACTATCTCTAGATTTAATTTAATGCCAAATCAACATCATGGCTGTACTTTCAAAACAGTGATTTCGCTCTTTATTCAACTGACTGTTGTAATTTTTTGTTGTTGTTGTTTTTATAGATCGAACAAAATTAGCCGTCTACCTGATGACGTATTCTCCAACATGCCACGACTAAGAATAGTCTTACTGTACGATAACCAACTAACAACCTTATCAGAAGTAACATTTAAACCAATATGGAATCAATTAATTCAGATATCCCTGGAAAGTAAGTGTTATAGTTTAAAAATAATGTAAGTACTTTTTCCAAATTTAAAAATATTTTCACAAACTTTTGCTTACTGACGCTGTTTGAACGCTTTTCCTCACATTTTTTTGTAGCCCCAGGTGGCACAGCAACAAGTCTGAGGGCTTTTCACGCTAAAAACCGAGTTTTGATACCCGCAACTGACAGTGCACAGACTTCCCATTGCGTTGTTTTGCGCTTAACAACAAACACTCGCATTGTTATCCAGATTTACAAACGAAAGACACAATGCAAAGATACCCGAAACCTTCAAATTACATAAAGGTTTCAACTCGTGAAGAAAATTTATTTACTTGTCCTACATTACTTCATTAATACTTCTGATAGTCGATAGCACCCTTTTGATATGTAATGCAGTATAAATATGTGCTGGCTGTTCTTTTTCTAAAGAAACTTTCTATAAGATTTATATTGATGGAGCCCCCCAGTGGCACAGCCGTATGTCTGCGGAGTTACAACGCTAAAATCCGGGTTTCAATACCCGTGGTGGGCAGAGCACAGATAGCCCATTGTGTAGCTTTGTGCTTAATTCCAATAAACAAACAATTATATTGATAGAATATTTACGTTTACTGTAATCTTCAAATATATTAATTTCTGGAATTATATGACCTTAAAATTCACTTCAAATAAGATTTATATCGGTTTCTTAATGAAACAGTCTCCTGCTTTTTACAGAAGCATTATAACACGCGCTTCACAATCAATGCTTTCTTTATCGCTCCTCTTTTTGTATTGATCAGAATTTGATTATGATAATAGAATTACTGTGGTAGTTGCGTAAAATCTATGATAAGTTATTTTTTCACTATTCCTTTCTTGAGTAAGAACGTATTGGTACAAAAGAACAGAGAAATGACGGAATGATTTTTGATAGCTCAGTAAATAAACTATAACTCCAAAAAAATCGAAGTTTCGTACGACAGAGAAACAAACAACGTACATGATTCAACTGTTTCAAACATGTTTAAAAGCACAAACAATTGAGGAATAATACTTGTCTTGTTAATTATTTAGACACACACATTCTTGTGAAAGACCATGTTCAAGTTTTAGAGTTTTTGTATAAATGTATTATATATATATTTGAGTTTTTTTACCAGAATGATAACATTAAATTCCAATCTTCTCTCGTTGCTTAGTTATTTCTACCTATCAACGTATTTGTTTTTTGTTTTGTTTCTGCAGTCTTCAAGTACCGAAAATCGCCGTGATACAAAACTAAACAACTTGTTTTCAAAATACAAAATTGACACATTGTTAAAATAAATAATGCTAGTTGTATCTAAAGAAAACTATCTACTTCTGGTAGTCAATAGCACTCTCTTAATATATAATGCAATATAAATATGTACTGGCTGTTCTTTTTCTAAAAAAAAACTAGTTGTATCTAAAGAAAACTGTCTACTTCGAATCAAGCGATAGCCTCACAAGCAAAAGAAGATAATACAACCATAGGATTCTGTTAATTTCGTCTGTCGTGGCATGTGATGATTTTTTAAGACATGAGACATGGTATATTGAGGAATTATGGACCCGAGCCTCTTCGGTAGCGGCGAACAACAAACAAAGACTAGTTTAAACATGATTATAGAATACAGTAAAAAATCCTGTAATTAAAATTGGTATCAGTGTTATTGTAATTTAATACCTAATTAATTACTCATTAAGAGAATATATTTTACCAAACTGCCCATCATACACCATTAGCTTATGAATAGAATTGAATGTATGTATATTCTATATAAGTATCGTGGAAAATACGTTCTTCCATTCCATTTCATTTCTTTCGTTCTCACTGTACACCTCATTTCTTCTTTCTTTTCTTTCACACTCGTGCTCTCTCTGCTTTTCTTCGCACTTTTACCCATCTCTTCCGTCTTTTGTTCTTACCTCATTTTTCTACTTGTCATCACTTGGTCAACGAGCTCTAACGGCCCGCCAGTCCCCCCTTCGGACTGGAATGAAATGATGATGGTAGGAAAATAAATGTTATATGTTACATTATTATAACATACAATTAATATCAGATTCACTTTCTTACAACCAATAATCTCTAACACTTGCTATTCGCTTCTTACTAATGTAAAAATACTAAATCGTTTTCGTATTTGTCTGTTAATTAATGATAAATTAGCTTTGCTTCAATTAATGTATAATTTATCTGATGACTTGGTGGGCGCTAGTTTAATTAAGAGGGAGTCTGACCTAGTATTTAGTGTGCTGGACTTGCTGATCGGATGGTTCATGGTTTGACCTGCAACATGCCACTGAACAAGCTTCGTAGTTTCAATTGTGAAATATTATAACTGTCAGAGTTAATCCCGTTATTCGTAGTCAGCGGGTGTTGCTGATTGACTACCCTTCGTCTGGCCACAGTTTTAAATTGTTTATTTATTTGTCTTTAAGTGCAACTCTGCACAATGAGGTAACAAACCTTAATTTTTAGCGTTGTAAGCCCTTGATCTTACAGCTAAATCATCTGCAGACCACAGTTCTAAATTAAAGATGTCTATGCCTGAACTTTAGGATCTCCCATTGTCTAGCCGTTTAGCCCATGTGAAATACAAAACTAGGATAGATAAATATAATTTTGTTCTGTACACCAGTGTTCATGCTATGAAAAATTATCAGAAAAACGTATTTTTGTACGTAACTTCAAGTAAGTTTATACTTTTCTTTATCTATCCTGATAGTAGCTTCCTATGATGTTTTCCATTTAGGGGTGGGGGTATTGTTAGGATACCCTCTATAGCTTTGTGCGAAAATTTCCTTTGTACCAATGGAGAAAGAAAAGGAGAGACATGTACTCTGAGATCAAATCCTGGAATTAATTTGAGTTATTAGAGAAGATGTTTTGTTTCAGTTAAAAGTTGATGTTTTTTTTTCTGCATATTCTGAAGTTGATAATTGGCACATCGTAACGTTCAGTTTTGTTTGTTCGAGAGTAAGAGCAAGCAGTTTTTCTTCTGTTTTCATTTTTGTTTACTTCACGTTTTTCTTTTCATTCATTTTTATTTTTAAAAGAAATGTTGCTTGTAACTTGTAGCGTTTACACTCAATTATTCGTAGGTGTGCAAACATTTTTGTATTTGTTATTTTGTTTTCATACCTTCGTTTTTAGTTGTCAAATATATCATACGTTACTGATGAAAGTATGAAATTACTTATATGTTTCTTTATTTAAATTCTACAAAGTGTTACAAATGGTCAACAGATAGCACCAGTAGCGATATTTATTGAGCTTTCAATGAATCAGGTTACAAACACACTTCTTTGGAACTTACCAGCTTAATATTAACCAGCGAATGATAAGATCACATAGGAAACTAATATTTTGCAGTACTACTTTTCTTAACTTATTCTATCTCATTAATTTGTAAGTTTTATGTAACTAAATATAATTTCATATTTCTTTGTTAAATATGCATATTTGCCTATAACATAATTATAACACTAAACAAGCCTTAATAATAAAAAACGTAGCACCGCATAAACAAAATAAAATCACCATAACACAGGCTATAATGTGGGATACCAATTGTGTGTTAGTCTTTGGAGGCGACTACAGAAGTAGGACCCACATAGCGGTGGGGATAAACCGTCTATCAGTCTAAACCTCTGTTCTCAAATCCAAAATATCAAGAATAAAAGAGTATAATAAGAAAATAATGACCATAAAACATGAAAGCAAGACGTAGGTGCTCAAGTCCACATCTATATCACCTTTCACTGCCTACAGCCAGTTGCGGGAAAGTGACTTCTCTCAGAAGAAAATACTATTTTGGTTATTCAGCCTTCCATTTTTATTAAGGTTTGTTTTGTGCTATAAATATGCTCTATTTCATCTTAGGCTTGGTCTTGCTGTTTTTAACGCAGTCCTTTCTTTTGATATAGATATTAACGTAACAGTTTAAATAACGTTTATGTTCACATTATATGCACATATATATTTGTATATACTACTGGTCATTACACTGAAGTCATGGTATTAACACTCAAGTTTTTAAAGCTTTATGTTCGACATATTGTATTTATATTCAGTGTAAGACTATTAGGCAAAATATGGTGATATTTGAATATAAAAACTGATTAATGAATATGTAGTACTTCCTACTTTGGCCACACTGATATTAAAACTTCGATTAGACATGAATACTAAATGTATGTCAGTACATCTCTTTTCCGAGATTTGCCGTAAATCATTTGGCTTCTTTCTTGCAATATTATTCTCCAACTTAAGTATGAGCATTAAGAGAACGAGGGGAATGGGGGAGGTACCTCTTGTTGCCTGACAGATTTTTCTCTTTCGCACGTGTAAGTACTATGTACAGCTCAGTGAAAATGTGAAATAGACAACTCCTAAGTCAGCAGATACCAACAAGATGAAATGACAAATGATTTTAACTCTAAAATTAGATTATCTATTTCCTCTTCCCCCGGCAGGACAGCGGTAAGTCTACGGACGTACAACACTAAAGTCCTAGTTTCGAATCCCAAGGTGGTTTGCTCTAAAAACAGAACAAACAAGCAAATATATTTCTTCAGTCAGGCAATGAGCATACATTGGGTAAAAAAGGCTATTAACCTTAAAGTTACAGTATCTGATATCTTAACAGGTCAAAAAAGGTTGCCTGATAAAACTTTACAATTGCCTAACGGGTGAGAAAACTTCCGTGTCTCCTGTGATGAAACAATTTGTTCATTCACTTGTTGTCTACTGTATGTGTGTAGCAGGAACTGTAATTAATGTTTTGGCAAAATACTTTTTTTTCTCTCTCTCTCTCTCTTTCCCTGAATATTATGTTGTGTATCTCGCATTAGTTGTTTAGTTTGTCCAACAGATTGTTATTCTACTTGATGAAAGTATCTCTTGCTACCTAACATTTGGTATGGCACCCACTAACACACCCGGTAGGTACGAACATTCTCGTATCCATTAATTAAAATATAATAAATTACTTCGTTTTCTCTGTTCACGAACCCAATCCATATACATACGTATATGGCAAAGCTTTCAATAGATACTAACGATCTAATACCGTTGTGTTTCATGTGACTTTTTATAAATACTGTTATGTCAAATAACCACTGATAATAGATGGTAGATACATGCAACATGTGCACTGTTAAACTGACTCAGTGATTGTGCAACTGACTCGGTGATTATGCAAGGTACAGTGTGATCACGATGAGAGTTTGTTATTTTTTGTTTGTTGGTTTCAGAATTTTTGCACAATGGGCCACATGAGCGTAGCCGTTTCTTTTCTTGCTACTCTTGTCTGAATAATTATTGGAATTTCACCATTAATCTTATGTAGAGTATCCATGGTCCCAAGGTACGTGTTTATGCGGGAACAGGACACAAACCACGGATCTAAATATTCACACTCCAGACGAATACGCTAATCACTAGATCTTGCCAAGCTCGTATTCTTAAGTTATTTGTAGTTTCATTTTGTTTTTTTATTGAGGGATTCGCTCTGACTAACCTTGTATATCTTATATGTTGAAACTCGTATCATTACGCTTGTAATATTTAATTTTACCTTCTGTAAATAATGCTTATTGAATACTTGCTAGCGTCACCATCAACTTCATTAATATCCAACAACATAATATGCAATACAAAATACTTGTTTTATATTCTCAATTCACGAAACGATTTAAAACCTACAAAGTTAACACGTTAGTTGTTTGTCTTTTTTATACTCAAAGTATATCTTACCCATTAGTATTAAATGCATGCGATACTTTCATCTGTATTATTACCACAGTGCTCCTGCGTTTTCCATGTTAGAGTGAATTTGTCTATGGAATGAATATCAGAGTTATGTTTTTATCTGAAAGTGAATGTGTTTTCATCACATTGCTGTAAAATCCTGCAATTTTTGTGTATTTGATCGTGCTATTGATATTTGCGACGTACGGTTTCTATATATAGGAACATAAGCTTTGTTCTTAAGTCTAAAATACGATATCAATGCAACACGTTTCGATTTATCGTGAATTACTAGAAAACATTCGTCAATACATGATTAAAACTTCAAAGCAAACCGAGAAAAATGGGTTTATTTATTTTCTTTTATTTGAATCATCTTTCAATTACAAACGTATAAGAAAAAGTTTTAGTAAGAAATTTCTCTGACAACTTGTCGTTATTCGCTCGGTTGAGCACAAAATCATCTGTCGATTGCCATATTAGTATATCCCTTATAGTAATCGAAACCGCACAAAAACCATTACAAGATCAACGTATTTCATGCCTTCTGACTCTGTGTGACAAAACTGCCTGAAATCCAACCCAACAATATCCGACAAAAATAATCTGGTGAACACATCTGATGACTCATGGAAATTAGTTTAATTTTTGGTAACACAAGGTAAACACCAAAAATCTGGTTAAAAACTTGGCCTATATTTCTGAAACCCGAAACAAAAATAATTGCAGAACATGGCACATAACTAAGTCGAAGATTAGACTAAATCAAGTTTGTTCATCACACGGCATTGTTCTTTAAAGGTAATGATCAACTAGTTGTCACTTCATTAAAAAAAAATACCGTATACGTTGAACTAAGAGAATGCATTGGTGTTTCGTGGTAACACTTACTGTTACATCAGTTTACGGCAGCCTCGAACTAAGAAACCTGTTTCTCAGTCTATAAAACTGCTGTACTGTTGATCAGTTACGTGAATGAATGTACTATATGAATTACAAACGTATCTTAGACTTGTGAGGAACGTAATCTTGCACTTAGCTACTAAAGTAGCATACTTGCAAAGAAATTCAATCTGGATTCGACATGATAGAATAGAACTTGAGACATGAAGTTGTTAACAATTAGGATAGAAAATTATCGTTAGCTCTAAGACAAGTGAAATGAGACTAATTGATCATTAGAGCAAGTCGAAATTTTGTTTGACTTCTGAGAAGGTACTGATTAGAATACTTTTGACAGTTCTTATTCGAACATAAAAATCACTTTAGAACGTATCACGAATTTGTTTGTTTGTTTAGGATCTTCGTATAAACCTACCCAAGAGCTATCTGAGCATAGCCGTTCCTAATTTTGAGCTAATAGACTACAGAGAAGACACTTAATCAACAGTACACACCGCCAATTCTTGAAGTTATTTTGTCTCACTAAATAGTCAGATTTCATGGTTACTCTGATAATGCACCCATGGCAACGAGACGGGAACCATGAATCTCCGGACCCACAGTCCAGGCACGCTAACGGCTAGGCGACGCCTGGCTCAAAGTCTCATGGATATGTTTAAGATTGTTTTTACTATTTTTAGACTTAAATAAACAAGAAAACCAACCCAACAAATTTTCTTATGTATTTTATAAATATAATATAAATATATATATATATATCATAAAAATAACAGTGTTGATGGTAAAATAATTAGAAAACATATTTAAAATTCAGAAAAATTATCAATTTTCGTATATAGCTACTTAACGGCTATCTGCGCTAGCTGTCTCTAATATAGAACTGATAGACTACAAGCACGGTAGCTAGTCAACATTAACCACCTTAAAAAGAATGTGTCATTTCTATGGGATTTTGAAAATTATAAATCCCTAACTTAGATGTGCTTCTACTACCTCCCCTTTGCTGTGGTTCAACAATAAGCTCGAATTCTTATGACGCTAAAATTTGAAGATGAAATCTGTCATAAGCACGTGCAAATGGTTCATCGTGCAGCTTCGTGGTAAAAACAAAACAAACGATTGAATAAGTTTCTCATAAACAGAATAATAATTATTTAAAAATTTGTTTCAGTACAATCATTTGGTCACAAAACTAATATTTTGCCTACCAGGTATGATCTTTAACTAACAAGTTATATGAGATATCTTTTGTACATCAACAACAGATGGAGCATTTATTGAGCTTAAAGATAATGACAACTTTATCGCACTCTTGAAAATAAAATTTTTGGCCGTTTATCTCAACCACATTATTTATGTTAAACTTCTCCTTGTTTTCCTTTTTTACTCTTTTCGAAATTTCAATAAGGATCCCTTTAAACTTGTCCATTATTAAATCTGCACATAGAAAAAGATGACCCTGAGCTGAAAATTATGTTCTTTTTTTTTTCCACTTAGATAACGATATCATCTGTGATTGTCGTTTGATATGGATCGTTGACAACCAAGGTGGACCTCGGAAAGTCGAGGGAAATTGTAAACGTCCTGATTTTCTTGAAGGAAGAACGTTAACTTCTTTGAACGAGAGAGATCTCCACTGTTAAAATTAAGCTCTTCAATTTTTTTACGCATATTAAAAAAATGATGCACAGCTTTCTGTACGATTAATATCTTTCCACTGATAAATTCTGTTATTTGGCAAAAAATTACGTACCTTTTAATTTAACTTTTAATTTTTCATTTATATGAAAAAAAAGTCTTACTTTATCCTATGAAACTCCAAAAATGTTATAAAACACCTATTAGTTTCCAAATTACCCTCATGTAATAATTCCTAAATTAAACCATGTAAGGAACATTGGTTATGGAACCCATAATCCTTGTTCTTAATATCTAAAAAAATACCTTAGGTGTGAAAAAAATGGTGCAGCCAAAACAGGATTGAGCGTATGACTTAAAGGAATGAAATCAAAATTGGTGGCCAAAATTGTTTGCTACACTTATAGCATTAACAAGAATTTTACAATAAATATTCATTAATTAGTTAACCAGGCCGTGTTTTTTGTTCAACTTGGAGCATGATTGTTCGTAAATCAATGAATAATGAATAATAACCGTTCACCTGTTTAATTTTTTTGAAAACTTGAGCTATAAACTGCTAATCTTGTTTGCTTGGCTTAACCAATACTTATGTATCTGCACGTGCTTTCACCCGATAGTTTATTTTTCTGCTATAAATCAACCGTCTTTAATTCGAATGGCAAGGAATCAGAAACGATCCACCTTTACTTTTAGGTGAAGCTATAGTAAACAACTTAAACCGATAGCTTACGTGACTTTTTTGGACAAAATTCAACGGTTTTTGTTGAAAAACTTTGTATATGTGGCTTATATATATAGACTAACTTTGACTGAAACCTAATTATAGGTTGTAAAGATTTATAAGTGTACTAACTTTTAAAAAATCCAGGAAAATTAAGTATGTTTTTCTCTCAAATAAAGTTTACTTACTTTTGGTAAGAAGAAAAAATAGGAAGTAATTCAATCAAAATTGGAGATTTTATATCACGTGTATTTCTTAATAGATTCCCTCGAAGTTTGGTATGAGAGATAACGTTCCAATAGAGTACATCCCCCCGAAAATATGTGATAGTTTGGATTATGACAGTCCGATCCCCCCCCCCCCAGTGGCACAGTGGTATGTCTGCGAACTTACAACGATGGAAACCGGGTTTCGATACCCTGGTGGGCAGAGAACAGCTAGCCCATTGTGTAGCTTTGTGCTTAACTTAAACAGACAGAAAGTGGAAAATTGGGAAACTATTATTCCTGTTAATAACACACAGTGTGTCCTGCAGGTAGTTTTGGCCGCATGACACACTACCGTGTGTCTTGATAATAATAATGAGTCTACAAGAAATTAATGTCGCTTTTTTTAGATGAAAAACTCGAACAACTTATATATCAAAACAAAACATTTATTAAATTG